GAGAGATACGTGCCCCGAGAGATCCGAGCTATAGATGAGGACATCATCTAGATACGCAATAACGCCTTGTTCCAGTAAAGGTTGCAGGTAGGCATTAATATTGGCCTGGAACTTGGCAGGAGCACCCTTAAGGCCGAAGGGCATCACTCGGTACTCGAATAGTCCAAGAACTGACCGGAAAGCTGTCTTCCACCGGTCTGCCTTAGCCATGCGTATTTGATGGAAGGCTGCTTCTAGGTCCAGGGTGGAAAAGTACTGGGCGCCTCCCAGCATCTCGAGAATGGTTTGGATGGGAGGTAAGGGAAATTCAGGGGCTATCGTAAGGGCATTTAGGGCCTGGTAGTTTACAACCATACGCATTTTACGCTCCCCTGAGCCATCGTCGCGTTTGTTCACCATGATTGTAGGCGAGCAAATAGGCGAGTAGGTCGGTCCGATCCAACCATTGTCTGACAACTTAGCTATCTCCTGTTTGTGGAATGTGAGCTGATCTGGGGTCATACGGTATATTGCAGATTTCGCCGGAAGTTTTCCAGGCACAAGTAGAATATGGTGATCATGAGGGCGTTTCGGCGGTAATCCCTTAGGTAAGTTATCGGGAAATACCGCTCGGTACTCGTGCAACACTTGTGCTATCTCCCGTGGAATATCCTGCGCCTCTGTCGAATGTATCCATGCGTCAAACAGAGTGTGCTCGAGTTGTGCCTGAGGCCAGGGGGACTCCTCGTCACTCTCCGTTGCCCCCGAAACGGTTATGGCCGAAGGACTATGCCAACTGGAGGACGCGGGGTGAGTCCCGATCAACGCGCAGCACAGCGCGTGAGGCCAGGGGGACTCCTCGTCACTCTCCGTTGCCCCCGAAACGGTTATGGCCGAAGGACTATGCCAACTGGAGGACGCGGGGTGAGTCCCGATCAACGCGCAGCAAAGCGCGCCTTGCCACTCATCCGAGAGCCTTAGGGGCATTGCCGGACCGGCTTCGGGCAAAGCCAGTATGAGGTGCAAACCGTGCATTGGAGCCTTGAGATCCTTTGTGTCCGCAGCCGCTTGACGAACAAGCGACGTTATTCGCGCCTTCGCCTTCTTCTTTGCGAGGGGTTTATACCTCCTTGGAGGTGGGCGTAGGAATATGGCTGCCTCCTCGGCAGACATACCCGCCACTTGCTTTGCCAGTATCTCGTACGCTTGTTCTGCAGGGGTCCTTGGCTGGGCTGCGATGGAACTGTCACCTCGCAGCGTTGCTTCGCCAGTCCGAACGACCGGTAACTCGCACCACTGGCCATCCACATAGGTTCGGAGCTTGTCCGACTGAAAATACCAGGCCACCTTGTGTTCCGTCAGCCAATCCAAGCCCAAGACTAAGTCATAGGGAACGGGTCCCTGA